ATTAACAGGAATTTGTCACTGGAACTCCACCTCGTCCTTCCAAGTTTTGTCATTGGATCTTTTATCATGCAGATTAGTCAATTCACGCTAACATTACATATGAACATTTCTAATAACAATAACAGAAATAACCTAGCTAACACACCCTATCTATTGTATGCTAGGCTCTATGCTAACTACTTATATAGATTACTTAATTTTTTATTTTTTACAAGACAGGGTGTCACTCTGCTGCCCAGGCTGTAGTACAATGGCATGATCATAGCTCACTGCAGCCTGGAACTCCTGGCATCAAGGGATCCACCTGCCTCAGCATCTGGAGTAGCTGGGACCACAGATGTGTGCCACCACACCTGGCTTACGGATTACTTAATTTAACCCCCACAACATCCTGTGGGGTAGAGGGCTATCATTATCCCCACCTACAGAAGAGGAAAGGAAAACTCCAAGGGACAATGCAGCTTGCCCGGGTCATAAATAGGAAGTGGCAGAGCTGGAATCTGATTGAGCTCAAGCTGTCTGGCTCCTGCCTTCTTAAGCATGACATTTAGTCTTCAGTGCAGCAGATATGGACTGACCACCTACACAAAACAGACTGCGTTAAAAGCAGGGGAAAAAGAGATACATAGGCCGGGTGTGGTGGTTCACGCTTGTAATCCCAGCACTTTGGGAGGCTGAGGCGGGTGAATCACTTGAGGTCAGGAATTCAAGACCAGCCTCGCCAACATGGCGAAACTCCATCTCTACAAAGAATACAAAAATCAGCCAGGTGTGGTGGCGGACACCTGTAATCCCAGCTATTCAGGAGGCTGGGGCAGGAGAATCGCTTGAACCCAGGAGGCAGAGGTTGGTTGCAGTGAGCCAAGATTGCGCGACTGCACTTCAGCCTGGACAACAGAATGAAACTGTGTCTCGAAAAAAAACAGAGAGAGAGAGGTCATAGAGATGTAATACGGCTAATTGCACCAGACTAAATAGTGTTCCCCTCAAATTTCTTAACAATCCAGAACCTGTGATGTGACCTTATTTGAAAACAGAGTCTTCGAAGATGTCATCAATTTAAGATAAGGTCATACTGGAGTAGAGTGGGCCTTACATCCAATGACTGGTATTTTTATTGGAGGAGGGAAGTCTGGGCACAGGCATGAAAGAACTCCATGTAGCAACCAAGGCAGAGACAGGAGTCTACAAGCCCAGAAAGCCAAGGATTCCTGCAGGCACCAGCATCCAGGAGAGAGGCGAGGAACAGAGGCTGTCAGAGCCTTCAGCGTAACCTGCACTTCTGTACTTCTGACTCTCTGAACCGTGAACGAAGCAATGTTTTAAGCTGCCCAGTTTGGAGTAATTTGTTCCAGCAGCCCTAGGAAATTCATGCATGGATAAAAAGGAGACAATAGAACCAGGGGTGGTGACTTGAGCGTGCAGTCCCAGCCAGTCACCCCAGACCCTGTTGGGCAATAAGAGTTTGTATTTGAAAGTTACAGTTCCCCGCTGGCCGTGACTAGGCAGTGGGAGAAACCAGCGATGAATCAGTTCGTGGCCTCACAGGAAGCCCGGCTTTCCTGTCAACAAAGAAGAATGAAAAGCCGTTGACCTCGGGCCAGAGAGCCATCCACCTGGCCACTGTCACAAGGCTCGGATGGAGAGAAACACTTTCATAAGGGGGCGGGGAGAAGGAGAGCCTGGCGAGCCACATTTGGCATCTGACTCCCGCGAGTCACCCTTTCTGCTCAAGATGAGAGTATGACAGTAGGGACAGAACATGATAAAACCAAAGAAAATGGGTAGGCCTCGCACATCTCAGCTTAAATCACGGGACTAGTAATTCCCCACTAACCTGCTAGACGCTAAAACAGAAGTTCCTAAGCGTTTGGCAAGCCAGGCCCTTTTGAGAATCTGGCAAATGCTAACGGATGGATGAACTCTCTCCCCAGAAAAATATTCCTACCTGCAAAATTTGGGGTGAGATTCCAGGGCATCTTGAGCTCCTAGAGCCCATTTATTGATGAACAAATACTTAATTGTCCACTACGTACTAGGCACTGTGCTACATGCTAGGAATATAAACGGGAAAGAATAGATGAGGCATTTTTCTTCCTGAAGACAAGAGCTGGGAGGGAGGTGTGTAAGTTTTCTGGGGCTGCCATAACAAATTACCACAAGGTAGGTGGCTTGAAACAAGAGGCCAGGCCGGGCGCAGTGGCTCACGCCTGCAATCCCAGCACTTTGGGAGGCCAAGGCGGGATCACTTGAGGTCAGGAGCTCGAGACCAGCCTGACCAACATGGTGAAACCCCATCTCTCCAAAAATTAGCCAGGCATGGTGGCAGATGCCTGTAATCCCAGCTACTCGGGACGCTAAGGCTGGAGAATCACTTGAACCCGAGAGATAGAGGTTGCAGTGAGCCAAGATCACACCACTGCACTCCAACTTGGGTAATGGAGCAAGACTCTGACTAAAAAATACATAAATACAGGACAGAAGGCTAAAAGTCTGAAATCAAGATGTCAGCCCAGCTGGTTCCTCATGGAGGCTCTGAGAGAGAATCTGTTCCATGCCTCTCTCCTGGTTCTGGTGGTTGCCTGTGGTCCTTGGTATTCTTGGCTTGCAGAGGCATGGTTTGAATCTCCTCCGCCAACATCTTCACCTCACCATCTCTCTGTGTCTTCTCCTCTCCTTATAAGAAAACGTCACTGGATTTAGTACCCACCCTAAGTCGATTCTGAGATCATCGAGATCCTTAACCAGTAACATCTGCAAAGACCCTATCTTCAGATAAGGTCGTGTTCTGAGGTTCTGGATGGACATGAATTTTAGGAGGATGCTGTTCAACCCAACGTAGTGGTCAGATGATTGAGCAGCCACCACAGAAAGCATCAAGGACCGTGACAGAACTCCCAAGGCGTCCATGAAAGCTTTCCTGAGGCCCTCACATGCAACTGAGACCAAAATAGTAAGTAGAAACTAACTAAACAGAGGAAGTCGAGAGTCCAGGATGAACCCATCACACAGATGAGGCCCACACAGGGGAGGGCTCACCTGAAGACCACTGCAAGAGAGAAGGGGCGGTACAGAAACCAGTTTGGGGGCTTTCTGGTTTTGTTTGTTTGTTTTGAGACAGAGTCTCACTCTGTTGCCTAGGCTTGAGTGCGGTGGTGCAATCTCAGCTCACTGCAACCTCTGCCTCCTAGGTTCAAGCAATTCTCCCGTGTGCCACCACGCCTGGCTAATTTTTCTATTTTCAGTAGAGATGGGGTTTCGCCATGTTGGCCAGGCTGGTTTCGAACTCCTGTCCTTGGCATCACTCGAGTGATGACTCACTCACTTGAGTCATGCACCCACCCTGGCCTCCCAAAGTGCTGGGATTACAGGTGTGAGCCACCCCACCCAGCCAAACACAAGTTTGGGGTTTGGGGTTTATCCTTAGGGCTGAAAAATGCCTTTGAGGGAGTGGAAGCAGAAGAGTATTTCTACAAAGTTCACCTTGATGGAGGTGAAGAAGAACTGAGTGAGAGAGACCAGACACAGAAACCACCGGCCCTCAAGGGCACGTATCTCAGGATGCAAGTGGCCAAAGCTCTGTGGAGATGCCCCATGCATCACCCTGAGCAGTGAGCTGGAACGGTGCCCCCCGAACCACATGGAGGAGTTTTGCCCAGTGCAGACAGGATCCCAGCTGGACAATCAGACCAACGTTAGCCCAAGAAGAAAACCCTGAAGTCTGAAAGCTCTGATGCTTGTTCTCCATCTAAGTGGGGAAAGGAGCTGGGCGTTTTCACAAAAATCTGCATAGCTGTCTTCTAAACACTTCGACTCATCAGATGCATAGGCGCTCCTCTTTTGTGGTCCCTTAGAGTTCAGTGTGCCTTAAACCTAAGCCACGCCTCTCATAAATAAGTGAGTCACCTCTCCCAGGCCTCACAGGCTCCACGTTGCTCTCGAAAGGCCATCTCCTCCCTTGAAACCCCGGTTGGGTTCCACACCCTTGCCTCTGTTCTCCAAAAACTCTGAATGTGGGTTCAGAAGCTACTTACTTATAATTCTTATTTCTCTTTCTTTGTTTACTTATTTACTTATTTATTTACCCTTTTCTCCTTTTTTTTTTTTTTTTTTTTTTTTTTTTTTTTTTGCTTTTTTGAGATGGAGCCTTGCTCTTGTCACCCAGGCTGGAGTGCAGTGGTATAATCTCGGCTCACTGCGACCTCTGCCTCCCAGTTCAAGCAATTCTCCTGCCCCACCCTCCTGAGTAGCTGGGATTACAGGTGCCCGCCACCACACCTGGCTAATTTTTGTACTTTTAGTAGAGATGAGGTATCACCATCTGGTCTCGAACTCTTGACCTCAGGTGATCCGCCCGCCGTGACGTCCCAAAGTGTTGAGATTACAGGTGTGAGCCACCGCGCCCCGTCTATTTACTTATTTTTTAAGAGACAGAGTCTCTCTCTGTCACCCAGACTGGAGTGCAGTGGCATGATCATAGCTCACTGCAGACTTAACTCCTGGGCTCCAGTGATCCTCCCACCTCAGCCTCCCAAGTAGCTGGGACCACAGGAGTGTGCCACCACAGCTGGCTAATTTGCTTTTAGTTTTTGTAGAAGTTTGTCCCCAAATCACGGGCTCAGGCGAACCTCCTGTCTGAGCCTCCCAAAGCACTGGGATTACAGGCATGGGCCACTACACCCAGCTCCTTACTTTCCTCTTAACCTGTCTCTTCTACCAGACAACGAATAACTTGAGGGCAAAAATGTTCTATCTTATTCACCTCTGAATTCCTAGCTCCTAACACATAATACATGTTATCAGACAGATGGATGGGTGCTAGATGGCTGGATCTCTTCAGGATGCTATGCTGGCTTCAAACCAAACTAATTAATGAATTAATTAAATCAGCACAGGTCCATCAATGGCTCTTCAAGTGCTTTGCACGGCCCCTTCCCCTCTCAAGAATAGGAGTAAGACGTCCACAGACAGACAGTCTGTCCTGGCATCTCAAGACTCACCTCATGCCCTCCGAAGCCATCTTATCAAGATTGGTAGTGTCCTTTGTTTCTGCCCAGTTTGCTCCCAGGTCACCCCACCCAATGTCATCGGCCAGAATAATCACAAAGTTCGGCTTCTGGCCTCTTGTTTTCCCATTGAAGCAAAAATCCACAAGAGGATAAAGAAATCCTGAGAAACTCACTCCCACCAACAACACCTTTAGAAAAAGCCAGCCCATGGTGGTTAAGGCAGGATTCCGATTGTCTAGAACGATGGCAGCCACCACTAGAGACGTTTCTGAGAGCTTCCTTCCTACTCACTTCCAATGCAGGAAGTCCCTGGGGACCAAGGGTGAAGTTTGCAAGAAGATGCTGGTGGCAGGTGGTGATGGCAGCGATAACAGCTACAGGGATGTGGGGGGCTATAGAAATGAAGCCTCCATCAGGAATCCTAATTCAAGAGAATCAGGAAATTTGCAATCCCTAATTTGGCTTGATCTTCTATGGTCAGTAAAATGACTGATTGTGTTCAGTAGTTAGACATCAATGTCAGCAACTGCTCTTCAGCCACTAAGAAAGTGACTCTTCTGTATTCAGGGCCTTAAAGCCACAGCACAGGCCTTACAGCTGTTTGGGACTCCATCTGGTGACTACAGGATGAGTTCTCACATCTGCAGAACACCTGGATGTTCTAGAAGCCGCAGTCGGCCCCGAATAAGTTTCTCAGTTCCAGATGGTTGAGGGCTTCATGTTTCTGTAAGGTTTCCTGAAAGAACAAAAATTGACAAGAAAACAGAGTTAAGACTGCCAGTGCAGCTGTGTTTTACTCAGTAGCTTAGGAAATAATCACTTTTCCATGCCAACAGATGTTTTCCTTTTTATTCAAATATTTAACTGGTTCATCAGTTTCTCCACCTGAAAAACAGTGATAATAATATTCGCAATGGACCTATAGTTACAGGATTGGAAGTAACATTAGAGACAATCTCTGCCAACCCACTCACCATATAGATGAGGATATTGAGGCCCAGTGTTCTGGGTGCGACCAGGACCAGCCCCCCAACACTGCTAACTCCCAGTGTGCCATTGAGAATTCTAGAAGAAGAGGTGAGACCCTTATTACCAAGGCATGATTATTTGTAACGGTCATGCTATAACCTAATGATTCTACATTAAAAATTTTTTTGGTCTTGCTACGTTGCCTAGGCTAGTCTTGAACTCCTGGCTTACGTGATCCTCTTGCCTCAACCTCCCACATAGCCAGAATTACAAGCATGTGCCACCATATCCAGCTAACATTCTTTTTTTTTTTTTTTTTTTTTTTTTTGAGACTGAGTCTCATTCTGTCACCCAGGCTGGAGTGCAGTGGCATAATCTTGGCTCACTGAAACCTCTGCCTCCCAGGTTCAAGCAATTCTCATGCCTCAGCCTCCCTGTAGCTGAGATTACAGGTGCCCGTAACATACCCAGCTAATTTTTGTATTTTTAGTAAAGACAGGGTTTCACTATGTTGGCCAGGCTGGTCTCGAACTCCTGACCTCAAATGATCCACTTGCCTTGGCCTCCCTAAGTGTTGGGAATATGGGAGTGAGCCACCACACCCAGCGCCAGCTAAGATTCTTGATAGAAGTTAATTTAGGAGAAAAGAAAATGGTTTTGAAAAGTTAATAACAGAATCTAGGTAGAGTATATATGGGTGCTTACTATAAAACTCTTTTAATTTTGCTGTATGTTTGTAATTTTCATAATAAAATGTTAGAAAAAATTTCAAAAAAATTTTCTTCATGGAAATGTGTCCCTTTGCATCCTGGCCATGTAATTTTAAGAAGAAAATCTAAAGACATGTTCAACCAGTGGTACAGCTTACACGTGGAGGCACATATGAATCAGCTGTGGATTTTATGTTTATTAAACCACAGATGCACTCGTTTAGGCTGGGCCTGGGATCTGTATTTCTAACAAGCCCATGCGAGGCCTGTACTGCTCGTCCTTGGATCATACTTTTAAGTAGCAAGGTGCTGGAAAACAAAAACATCACGAGTCTAGCGCAAGAAGAAAAAGGAAACTGCTTAACCTAACTGATGATTCAACTTCAGTGGACAAGCAAAAGCGACAAGTCAGATGGAGTTTTGAAAGGCAGGAACTGAAGGTTATACTTTAAGTTGCAGGTTGCAAATAGAGCCAAGGATAAAATTAGATTAGCCCTAGTTCACTTAAAAGCCCTAAAAGGACTACATTTGCGAGTTCGTTTATGTGTTTTTTTATGGATTTATTGTGTTTTTTTAAAGAGACAGATCCCAGCTCACTGCAGTCTCAGACTCCTGGGTTCAAGCAATCTTCCTGCCTCGGCCTCCCGGGTAGCTGCAACTACAAGTGCATGCCATCACACCCAGCTAATTTTTTTTTATTTTTTTAATACAGATTGGGTCTCACTATGTTTCCCAGGCAGGTCTGGAAATCCTGGGCTCAAGTGAGCCTCCCACCTCACCCTCTCAAAGTGCTGGGATTACATGCATGAGCCGCCACTTCTAGCCAATTTGCAAGTTTAATAAGGAGAAACAGAGTTGAAATTGTGGACCAAATAAAAATTTCAGTTGGCCAGGCATGGTGGCTCATTCCTGTAATCCCAACACTTTGGGAAGTCGAGGCAGATGATCACTTGAGGCCAGGGGTTCAAGAGCAGTGTGGCCAACATAGTGAAGCCCTATCTCTATTATTTTTTTTAGTCTAAAATTAAAAACAACAACAAAGCTTCAGTTGAACACCCAATGTATGGAGCGGATTAAAAGAGAACCAACGTGTTAAAAAACATAGGGCTGGGGTTATGACAGATGCTTTTTCCAGTTGTACATCCTTGCCAGCCAACCCAATTGGTCAATCCACATGAATGGGGGTGGTTGGAGGTATGTAAATTCTGGAAGACCTAGATAAAAACCAAAAGAATGGGCAAATACGTCCTTAATCAAAATAAAAGGAAATCCAAGTAAACAGTCATGTCATCTGGAGGCCAATGAACCAATTGTTCAGAAATGCAAATTCTTCTGTTTCGCAAAAGGAGACGTATTATCTCAAACTCAATTAGATTCAACGGGTATTTGTTGATCTTGAGGCTCCAAAGACATCTCCCTTTGTAGGAGAAAGAGCCTCAGCACAAGGAGGATGTGGACCTGCTGCTTGATTCCGAGCTCATTCTACTGGCTTTTGACCATGTGAAACAGATAGAGACTTTTTCTCTTAAAGCTTCTTAGCTTGGAACACTAGAGCAGCCTCGTGCCTGGTCAATAATCCATTTCAGAATGGATCCAACGTTCAGGACTTCAGGGAAAAAAATCACGTAAGAAAGAAGCTAAAATTAAGGTGGGAATATAAATAAACAGATTGTTTCTTCAGTGTTCCATGATGAAACATTCCATTGAGGATTTTCAAAGAGAATCATTACTTTAAATTTTCATAGAATGGAAATGAATGAATCTAGCCAGCACAGCATTACATTATTCTTCACGCCCACACTCCAGGGAGACATTTAATCCTTTCCCCACTTTTCTTTTTTAAACTAAATGGAGAAGGCAGACCAGACACTCAGATGACCAGGTACAGACTTTGATTAAGATCTAAGCTCAAACTTTGATCTCAAGTGCTATAAGGAAAATGGGGTCGGGCACGGTGGTTCATGCCTGTAATCCCAGCACTTTGGGAGGCCGAGGCAGGTGGATTACCTCAGGAGTTCAAGACCAGCCTGGCCAACATGGTGAAGCCCCATCTCTACTAAAAATACAAAAAAATTAGGCGGGCATAGTAGCACGCACCTGTAGTCCCAGCTGCGGCAGGCTGAGGCATGAGAATCACTTGAACCTATGAGGTGGAGGTTGCAGTGAGCCGAGATCGCACCACTGCACTCCAGCCTGGGTGACAGAGTGAGACTATGTCTCAAAAAAACAAAACAAAAATATAAGGAAAATGGTCCCATAGCCAGGCTCAGTGGCTCATGCCTGTAATCCCAGTACTTCAGGAGTCTAAGGTAGGAGGATTGCTTGAGCCTGGGAGTTGGAGATCAGCCAGGGCAAGATGGAGAAACCTCATCTCTGCAAAAAAATTTTAAAATTAGCCAGGCATAGTGGTGCATGTGTACAGTCTCAGAAACTTGGGAAACTGAGGTGAAAGGATCATCAGAGCCCAGGAGTTTAAGACTGTATTGAGCTGTGATGATGCCATGGTACTCTAGTCTGGGCAACAGAGCAAGATCCTGTCTCTGAAAACAATACCTTCAAACAACGACTATATAAGCCAAGCATTTGATTGCACCTAGCTCTTAGAACAAAAGAAAAAAAGAAAATGGCCTTGCTTCCTGCCCTCAGATCTTATCTGATGTTATTTTGCCAGCTCTTTTTCTCCACCACCCTCAGAAAGGAGTAGACACAGAGAAGGAGCACTCCTCCTGGCTATAAATAAAGGCAGAGTCTTTGGCAAATATAGCGTTTACCCCTCCTTCCACTGGGGTGGAAGGTACTCGGCCATCTCACTCAACAAATCCCACGACGAAGGCCCGTCTGCTCCATCGGAGCACAACTATGAAAGATCCTTGCTGAGCACAAGCATAAACAATTTCTCATGTCTCATGCTCCCAAGCAGGAGTAGAGTGAACTTTAGTTGACAGTCGGCTTTACCCATGATTCCTGTTCTCCACGACCCCCATTTTAAAGCAGGTCCACTAAGTGTGCTCAAGTTTGACCTCCCTTCAGTTTCCAGGCTTGCTTAGGGGTGAAGACACCAATGAACAGCCAAATGACCCATAGGCAGGCTGTGGGTCAGAAGCACTGAGAGGCGAATGGAATGCAGCAACCTGAAGATCTGCTGAGCAGCGTCTGAAAACGCACAGCTGACATCCTTGGGCTTCCTGAGCCACTCGCTCCATCACCTGACCCTGGTTCCCCACGGGCCTCCCTGTGGCCAAGCATCCTCCTAGAGAACCTTGAAAACAGCTGAAATAACAAGGAGGTCGGGCAGACCTTTCTGGCAGAGGGTTCTTTTGGTTTTCCAGAGACAAAAGCATCTGATGAGCTGAGGCCAAAAAAGACAAAAGAGGAGTGGGGAGTAAGTCTCTGGGATGCAGAGTCCTGTTGTTTTACTCCCCAAATCAGAACATGGTCTGTGTGCTGGATGGGGTCCAGGAGCCATCGGGGGATGTCAGAAGGGGCCTTGGGCACCAACTGCCCACGTGTTATCTGAAGCAACTCCCCTATGCATTCTGTCATTTGTCCAGCAAATGTGTACTGACAGGTCTTAAACCAGGCATGGTGCATACAGCTGTGAATGAAACAGACAAAACTCCCTGCTCTCACACCACTTACTTTTTTAAGGGTGAGGGGAGAAATTAAATCAATAAAATTTAACTAGCATGGAGAACAACAAAGAAGGAGCTCAAGCATAGGGTGGGGGCTGCAAAGTTAAAGAGGGCAGTCTGGGACAATCTCATTGAGTGCAATTTGGATAAGGATCTGTAGGAGGTCAGGGAGAAAGCTACGCTGCCATCAAGAAGCCATGCAGGAAAGATAGAGAAACTGGGAAAGGCAGAGGTGTGGCACAAGCAAGGAGTGGCAAAGAAGCCACTGCAGAAGCAATGGGAAGAGGAAGGGCAGGGATTGGAGTCAGAGAGGAAAGAAAGGCTTTTGCTTCCAGAGATGGGAAGCCAGAGGGATTGAGCAAGAGCAGCCGGCTCTGGTTTACAATGTAACAGAATCCCTGCCCTTTTGAGATACACAAATGCCC